GAGGTGTATGGTGGGCAGTGCGGGGTCTCACCAGGGTTCCCAATAGGTTTCAAGGGTGGGTGCAGGCGGCGGGTACAGGATGGAGGAGGAGGAGATTTTCGGCCGGCACAGTACATAGGCGTAACGATTCAAAGGAAGGCTGCCGGGACCTTCCTGTGAACAGCGGCGCCTGTTTACAGCGCCGGCTTCAGTTTAATAATTTGAAGCGCCAGTATCAGCGCTTTGTATCAGGGCATTTTCACAAGTACTTGTGAAAATGCCCAGTAGCAGCACCGATACCGGTATCTGTACTGGTATCGGTGCATCCCTACTGTTAAGCTGCAATTTATCACATTTCTGTTGTTGGGTTTAGATACATCGAGTGGCGTCACAAGGGGGGTGTGGGGGGGGGGATGCGGCCCGCACCCGGGTGACACAATTGGAGGGGTCACACCAAAATGACTTATAGCCATTTTGGTGTCACCCCCTCTGAAAAGTCGGGAGCTCGGTCATGGACCGAATGCCTGTCAGTATCAGGAGAGAGGAGGGGACCCGGCAGCATACCTTATCCCGCTGGGTGACTGTCCCCTCCTCTCTCTGCCGGCGTCCATCACCAAGATGGCGGTCGGCAGGTATCAGAATACTGCTGCGCGTGCGCGATGACGTCTTGGCGGGGTGACACTCGGTTACCGCTCCGGGTGTCACCCAGCCTTGGGACGACCCTGGATACATCTACTTGCATATGTTTTATTATATTCTCAATTTCAGTTGCTAAGGTTTGTGACAGGTTTACTTTAAAGCGACACTGTTACATTAAAGCTGGCCGTACACTACTCTATTTTTTTCGAATAACCCGCGAGCTGAACGAAAAAAATAGAGCAGATTCCTCCATCAATGCTATGAGCGCGTTGATCGAGGAATCCCCACGGTTTCCTTTATATTCTGACAGCGGCCTCCGGCACAGTGTATGGCCAGCTTTACCCATCCAGGTTGGAAATCTTTTGAAGCTTTCAATAGGGTTGTAAATGTGCAATAATATAGAAAATATTTTCACTTTGACCATTACAAATATGCTGCTACGGCTCTGCCTAGGAGCCAGGGGTGGGCAACTCTTCTAGCTGTGCTTTAACTACAAATCATCGCAACAGGCCTATGCCTCTGGGAGTCATGCCTGTAACTGTCAGTCTTGCAATGCCTCATGGAACTTGTAGTTCCACAACAGCTGTAGGGCCGGAGTTGCCCATCCCGGGTCTATAGCACTACCGTAGTTGTCCACATTACTGTAGTCTTGCTTCCAAAATGTCTACAATTTTTTAGTCCACTCTATCTATTGAGGCAACCATGGTTGTCACATAGGCTGGACTTCAAACATGTGTTTTGGATCTCCTTCATCACATGATGGATTTATGGTATTAGTAGGTAGGATAAACTTCTTTGCTTTCTTTTAAGTCATCCAGCCTATAGACAGACATTCTACCTAATTTTCTGCTGCTCGTGAATCTTTTTACAGAACAACGCTGGGTGTCTGTGCTGTAAACTTCTTAGGTCAGTGTTTTCTGTTATTAACAGTAACACTTTTTTATTCAACCGGTATGCACTCTTTTTAATTTATAATAGTTAATGAACAAATAGAAAGAAATCTGTGGTTACATATTCAACTATAAATTATATAATGCTTTCCTACAACTCTGTTGCCCTTTTGGACTTTGGTTTTCCTTCCCCTCCATGTTACTCAGAAAGTACCTTTTAGCATTCTTTCCTATTACAACTTAGTGTATATAAACACAAAAACAAAACTGTAATATATTGCTGTTTACCAGTCCTTAGATGTGGTGGCTGCATTGCTATTCAACTTTAATACTAAGAACATTTTCAGCAAGTCCCGAAAATACTAACTCTGAACATTTATGGGAACTCCGGGTGCAGACCATATGAGCCTGCCTTCACCCTCTTAATATTCTAAAAGAACAACATACCATTGCAGCTCCAGTTCAACACTCAGAATATGAATGTTGCAGTCCCTGCTTAAAGTGGACCTTACCCCCTTTCACCAAAAATCACATCAGCATGCAGCTCTGCATGCTGATATAAAATCATCTTGCATTCATTAGATAAACAAACATGTTTTTCATTTACTTACAAATAGAGTTCATCTACTTCCTTGTCCAGTTTTGGCAAAAACGATGTCATCGTGCCCAAGCATTGCATCCTGGGAAGATTACATCAGCAGAGCATTGCTGGGAAATCTCATCTGTAATCTCACGAGATTTCCAGGTAAAGGCATTTTCCTCCACTGAGATGATGTGCATGTCCTAGTCACATGTGCCAGAGTTCCAGGAAGTAAAGGGAGAGCTAGTAATCTGCCCTTATTTAACATGGCCACTGCCAGAAGACTGGAAAGAAAAGAGAACTAAGATATGCAAAGAATACAAAGCCTGCATCTATTTAGAAGTATGTGTTTGTAGATTGTCATTACTAAACATTTCTAAAGGCGCATTTGTTGTTATTTTAAAGATATTGGTAAAGTTCCTCTTTTAGCACTGTCACTCTAACGTGTTTCACCTATCAAGGCTTACTTGTAGTCTCTATGCGCTAGAGGGGCGGTGCTTAGGTGGGAACTGTAACATGGACTCATATGGATTGAATAAAGTTTTATGTTGAGCTGGAGACACGACCATTGGTTGTGCTTTTGATCCTTGTCACATAGGGGCTAAGAAACCTCCTATGCAATAGCCAATTCACAAAATAGGTCCTCTTTATGGAGACATCAGGGGTAAGACCCCTAATGTCACCTAGGGACCCCAAGAGAAGCTGATGAAGCAGAGATCTGCTTCAGCAGCTTCTCACCGGCATCTGTAGCTGGAGAGTGACACTGAATGCGGAAGTGATGTAATTTACATCACTTCCTGCATTCTGGGACCAGAGAGGCGATCAAAGGGAGATTGTGTACTGAGCTCCCTTTGATCTCCTGTGACAGAGTCACTGGGCACCGGCTGCGGCAGCCGATGGCGGGGGGGGGGGGGGGGGGGTGCACACCCGCACCTAATACAAGCGATTGGACGCCCGATCGCTTGAATGAAAACAGCCATCGCTGGCTGTTTACATTGCTGACATTTTCCCCACTCGTGTGCGTGCTGGGCGCCGCGCACGAGCGGGGGGAGGGGAAGGACACCTAAAGACACCCTCCTGCTCCTATAAGGCTCCCGTCCAGCCGTTCAGGAACGGCCAATGGACGGATGAACGGGAGGTGGTTAAAGAAACTATCCTGGCTCCTATGGTTTCATCTGATAAACCAATAGCAGGCTCCTGTCAATGGCTCCCCTCTCAATCTGTATAACTAAGCTTGACAGATTCAATGGGTTTGGACCTGTTCACACCTACGCACTATGTTGGCGCACACTGTGATAACATGATGTAGGCATACATTTTATTGTAATGCAGCTTGTTACAACATACCTTGGAAAGAAAAGGAAAATCAAATGAAGAAAATGTAAACACGGTCACAATATAGATGAAATGAACAAAAAAAATTTATATTATTGGATTGTAATGTTTATCAGCTTATCATTGGTGATTAGTTCAGTTCAGTAGCAAAGAGGGGAAGCAATGAATACCTTGGCTATGCTTGTCTCATTACATCATTACATTGCTTCTTACCCCCTATGTGATAGCAATAAAGTTAAAGCGGACCTTTACCCATATCTTTAAAATAACAACAAATGTGCCTTTAGAAATGTTTAGTAATGACAATCTACAAACACATACTTCTAAATAATTGCCTGCTTTGTATTCTTTGCATATCTTATTTCTCTTTTCTTCCCCAGTCTTCTGACAGTGGCCATGTTTACTAAGGGCAGGTTACTAGATCTCCCTTTACTTCCTGGAACTCTGGCACATGTGACTAGACATGATCATGTACATCATCTCAGGGGAGGAAATTTTCCCTGTGATCTCATAAGATTGCAGATGAGAATTCCCAGCAATGTTCTGCTGATGTAACCTTCCCAGGATGCAATGCTTGGACACATTACATCATCTGTGCCAGAAGTAAACCAGGAAGCAGATGAACCCTATTTGTAAGTATATGAAACACAGGTGTGTTTAACTAACTAACTGTAAGATGATTTTAAATCAGCGTGCAGAGCTTCATGCTGCTGTGATTTTCAGTGAAAGAAGGTAAAGGGTCCGCAGCGCTGAATACTGAAAAATGGCCTGGCCAGGAAGGGGGTCTAAACACCTGGTCTTGAAGTGGTTAAGTGTAAAAAAAAAATGTAAAAAACACACACAAACATTTTTTTAAAGTCCCCCGACCCCACATAGAAACATGAGGGGTAAAAGCTTTCAAAGCGTCGCCTATGGCCAATTTTGGGTATGGTAGGTTTTTTTTGGTTTCACGGGTGCGCGCAATTTTAAGGATTGACATGTTTGGTGTCTATTTACCTGACGTGACCACATCTTTTATATTTTACAAAAAAATGGGGTACTGTTAAATGTTTCATTACATAACATACTTTTTTCTTAAAACCCGTGGTGATTATATACCACCAAAAGAAAGCTCTACCTGTCCCCAAAAATGGTAAAAAAATTAATTTCAGTACAGCGTTGCATGACGGAATAAATGTCAGTCAAAGTACCGCAGCGCTGAATACTAAAAAATGGCCTGGCCAGGAAGGGGGTGTAACACCACGGTCAGCAAGTGTTTAAGTACAGTTCAGTGTCACTTTAATTAGATCTTTGAAAAAAAATTAACCATACATTGATATGTGTATTCACATTATGCTGATCCTTTTTATTTCTGAGAAACATGACTATGGTTCATGGTGAACATATAAAAGTACAGCACAGCTATAAGGATACATATGTACATGTTCATGCCACGATGGGTTGCTGAGACTCCCATGTGGACGAGTGCCCTTCCTCATGGAAAATACGGTAGGCTCATCACAGCGCCTCACTCACTGGATGCTCTACCGTAATCTCTGTAATGGTCCCGCAGCTCTCTGCGCTCTCCCTCATTCTTCCCCGGAAGTAATATGGAGTCTCTCTGGTCTCCTGTACCCTGACGTGATTCCGCTTTCCTGTCAGTATCATGGCGCTGGAGGCCACTCGGGGAATGATGGAAGATGAAGAGTTGGAGGACGGGGAGCTGAGCGGCTCCGATACAGATATGAAGGTGTCGGCGGACAGAGCCCAGCATCAGGTAGCCGGCAGTGCATGGCGTGCTGTACGTTGTATAGGACGGGGGCGGGGTGTCAGTTGAAGCATGGCTCTCTATATACCGGGAGACGGCTATACACCACTCCTAGGAATATACTGGAATCTTATTAATATACAATAGTCTTATTAATATGCAGGACTCTTAATAATATACTGGAGTCTTATTAATATACAGGAGTCTTATTGTTTTTATTATACTAGTAGTACAGGAGTCAAATCATTATTATTATACAGGAGTCCATTTATTATCATTATACAGGATTCCTATTTTTTTTTTTTTAGCATGTATTTTTTATTGATGTTTCAAAGGATAACAGGATTCCTATTATTGTACACTAGCCCCTTTGTTGTTATTATACAGGAGCCCTACGATTATTATTATTATACTGGGGTCTTATTCAGGGATCCTATCCAACAATGCCCCCCAGCTTTCCCCTTAATTCATGAAGAGTTGGTGGGCCCATATTTAGGGTGAAATTGTGACATATGTTGAACAATCTCGGAGCCAAGCTTACATTGTATTTAGTGATGAGCGAGGGCTTGTTGTGGAGTCGGTTCACGTGAGTTTACCCAAGCCCACTCAAAACTGCGACTGACACCCCACCCGCCCCTTCTGGCCCAGTCAGTTTCAGCAGGCACTTTCCCTGCCCTATAGCTACATGTTACAAAGGGGCAGGAAATGCCCCTGCTGCAACTGATTGGGAGGGGGTAGTTGGTCTGTCCCTCAGTATTGTACGTGATGATATCAGCGGAGCTCCAGATGCTGAAGTGGGGGGGGGCAAAGAGGCTGCAGTTGCTGTTATTGGAACCTGCCGGATCAAGATTTGGGTGCGTACAAGTGCTTTACACCTTCCCCTAGACGTAAACAAGACGTTTTTTTAACCTGGAGATAGTCTTTAAAGTGCACTAATAGGCTCCTGTATGACCGTCTAAACAGGTCCCAAATCCAGTTACTATGTCATGTACATAGTATAAATAATCTTCCTTTACCCTCCTTGACTTAACCAAATTATCCTTCATTTGTGTCTCACATGCTCCCCCTCCCAGGCACTGCAGTTGACAGTGGGAGGGTTTCAGCAACACAGGCATTGTTGCCAATCCAGAAAGCAGTGGTCAGGTCTAGGTGCGGCCGGGTGCTGAATGACAAGCTACAGAGTTGTAAATCATCAGTGAGATTGGTGATGGCAAAGCCCCTGCAATATCCTCTCATCCCACTGTAGTGCAAGCAGACACTGCCTACATGAGGGGCAGCTGAGGAGCAGTGCAGCTTCCTTAAACTGAGAAGACTTTGAGGTACATTAATCCATAGTGAGTGCAGCTATTGAGGTCAGTGAGGGCTTGTTTTAAAGGAGGTTCACCTTTTTGCAGAGAAGGGGCCCCATTAGTTTTAAGTACACTGTGCCACTTGTAGAAATATAGTTAGGTGGAAGTGCCATACTTGTAGGCTGTTCCTGTCCCCCATGCAGCCTGGCTGACATCCTTACACCCTGGCCTATTTCCAGGTGACAGCAGCAAGTGCTCCCAGAAATAGGGAGATGTCTGGGCTTAAATCCAAATTACCTACACAAGACCTCAGTTACTAAGGGGGTGTCTGCTTCTGCTTTTTTTTACTTTTGGCATGCATTATATTAGGCTGAGACTTCTTTTGTGTAAAGTATCTCTTTCTGTGAATATTATTATACTCATTACTTTCTATCATGGTTTATTTGCAGAAACTTGGTTTACCCGCTGCTGGTGGCTACAGAAGCAATGCAGCTCTGCCTTTAAGTGTCCCGTACCGAAGTGTCAAAGGTTTGGATTCTAGTGACGAAAGCTTTTCTGATTCTGATGAAGATGAGGGTTCTCTGTGGAAACGTAAACGCCAGAAGTCTTCCCACCCTCCTCCAGAAGTGTCAAGACCAACAGTGGCCTCGGCTCCCATGCAGTGCACACAGGCAGCAAGAGCAAAGAATAACATCTGGGGGGCAGTGCTTCAGGAGCAGACACAAGAGGCTGTAGCTGCCGAGCTTGGAATTATGGACATGGATGGTCAGATAGATATGAGCAGGCAGTCCGAGACTTATAATTATGTCCTAGCCAAGAAAATGATGACCAAAGAAAATGACGAGGAGAAGTTAAAACTAGACAAAGAATTGGATGAGTATATGCACGAAGATAAGGATCGTGTGCCAAAAGAAGAGAACGGTCACCTAAAGAGGAAGCGACCTTTGAAAGAGAGGCTTGGCGAAAGATTAGACATGGACTATAAAGGCCGATACGAAATAACTGAGGGTGATCCGGAACACAAAGTTTCTGATGAAATAGCACACAGGTTAGTTGTGAATTGTATGTAAGTGTGCTCATATGCTGGCATGGAGAATTAATTGCAGCAGCTGTGTTCTTGGTGTCATTTTTAACAGCCAGCAATGACCGTTAATGTACAAGCGATCCGGCGTCTATACAGCTTTCGGATCGTTTGTACCGTGCGGCGCTGACCCCTCCCCGGTTGGGCCGCCGTTGGCTCCCTCGGGCTCTTCTGTCCCCGTGCAGCGCCCGGGACTGGCTCGGCGGGTCTCCCCACAACGATCGGCTTCCAGCCGCTGATCTGTCCTCTGATCACTGGACCCGGAAGTGATGTTTACTACATCACTTCCAGTGTCACTATTTAAATTCTCCAGGAGAAGAAGCTGGGGAAGTTGATCTCCTCAGCTTCTTTGGGGTCTCTAGGTGGCATTAGGGCTCTGAAAGACCCTTGATGTCTCCATAAAGAGGGCCTGTCACACCCCATCTGCTATTACATAGGGGGCTTGTTAGTCCCCTATGTGATAGCAATAGGGTTAGTGTAAAAAAAAAAAGTGTTTAGAAATTAAAGCAACCATAAGAAAAAAAAAAAATCCCCCCGCCACCCATGTGCACACACATACAAACGCAAACACACTTCAGTGTGCCTAGGTGCGAAAACGACAATTGTGCTACACATGTTACATATCGCAGTGAGAGCAATAATTCTAGAGCCATCAATCACTGTTAGCACTAAACTGATGAGCGGTAAAAGCGTTTAAAGTGTCCCCTATGGAAATTGAGAATTTTTGCAGCTTCACGGGCAAATGCAATTTTAAAGCTTGACTTGTTTGGTATCTGTTTACCTGACGTGACCCCAAGGAATTTTGGTGTTGTAACTCGACTTTTGGTGCAAGTTTCTGTTATGTTGTGCATGACAATCTTACAGCCCAGCTCCTGTTTACTATTTTTTTAAAGCTGACATTTAATCAGCTCATAGTTTGCCTTTCCCCCTAACAAAATCAACTTTCTAATTAAATTTTTAAATATTTCCGTTTTCATCTATGGATCTCTATGCAATGCGGGCAGATCAGCATGGCTGGCCCTGTGCTGCATATACTTTCCTGAAAACATCACAGCACCCTGCCTCAGTATTCGTCAGCCCTGATGAAGGCAGTCGGTTGACACTTGGGAGGACCCATGCAAATATCGAAATTCCTTGGTGAGTGGATGCCAGTCTGGTGCCCATGGGTATTCCCAGGCAGATGACATTTGCATGCAGACTGTCCTAGGTAAGGGCCACATGTGATGCTGAGCCCTGTGGCATCCAATGACTGGCCTGAGGAAATGTGAAATAAGTAAAAAAAAGCATAAATAATTTTTAGACTGTAAGCCCTCAGGGGCAGGGCCCTACTTACCATCTTGTCTTGAATTGTATTGTGATTGTAATGTCTTCCTTATATTGTAAAGCGCTGTGCAAACTGCTGGCGCTATATAAATCCTGTATAATAATGTAGTAGGAGGGAACCTGAACTGAAAGTATTGATTCTGTGTTATAGAAGGCAATACCTTGAGACATGTACCTTTTTTGGCTGGAATTCATTCTTATAAAATAGTTGTGCATTTGTGAACCCAATCCTGTGGCTGCAGCCTCGTAGCTGTGTCCCTGACTGCTAGTCTCACACGATTTGCAGTGAGATTAGGTGATGTCACTACTGTGCTGCCTATTGTTCTTACTGGAGGCTCTGACATGAGGAAGCAAAGCCCTGCCTCTACCAAGATGGCCGCCGTTACACACAAATGACTGTTACATATGCCCTTTTTATCTTGCAGGTTGCATGAACCTAAAAAAGATCTGATCGAACGAGTTGTGAAAACCATTGGCACCAAGAAGGCGATTGAGCTTCTAATAGAGACTGCCGAGGTGGAACAGAATGGGGGACTCTTTATTATGGTGAGATTTAACGGTTTTTATGTTTATGAATGACTTATCCAACGCCATTGAACGTATAGTACAAAATGCTCCTTTGTAGACCAGGGTTAAAGCACGGGTTACAGGACTTGCAATTGTAGAGATCCTCCTCCTGCCTTTTGCTACTTTGTGGAACAACCATACAGTGAAGTCTGGAAAGTTTGAACTTCTGTCTAGAATGCTTATTCTAGGTCAAGTAACTCTCTAGGTCAGGGGCGCCCACAATTTTTTGTGTGAAGATCTACTTTTCAAATGACGAGCTACATGAGATCTACCAACGGAAACAAAACGTCTCTCCTGGCTTGTCTCTCCTGGCTTGTCTCTCCTGGCTTGTCTCTCCTGGCTTGTCTCTCCTGGCTTGTCTCTCCTGGCTTGTCTCTCCTGGCTGGCTCTCCTGGCTCGCTCTCCTGGCTCGCTCGCTCTCCTAGCTGTTTTCTCCTTGCTCTGGCTGTCTCTCCTCGCTCTCTCCTGGCTGGCTCTCCTGGCTGGCTCTCCTGGCTGGCTTGCTCTCCTCGCTGTTTTCTCCTTGCTCTGGCTGTCTCTCCTCGCTCTCTCCTGGCTGGCTCTCCTGGCTGGCTCTCCTGGCTGGCTTGCTCTCCTAGCTGTTTTCTCCTTGCTCTGGCTGTCTCTCCTCGCTCTCTCCTGGCTGTCTCTCCTCGCTCTCTCCTGGTCTAAATATACCAAAATGGAATAAAGGGGCCGCCATTCACACCCTTTGTGATCTACCAGCATCAGCTTTCAGAGCTACTGGTAGATCACGATCTACATAATGGGCACCCCTGCTCTAGGTAGTCCAGGATCAGGTTGACAGCCTCGATGCTTGCACTTTTAAATACATATCAGCAATGGCATCTCATGTTTTTTCCCCCCTCCTAAGGTTTTATTTGAAATTTTTGATGTTTTATGATGCAGTTTGGATTTCCATCAGAATATGTATCTTTTTATGTAACTGCTTCAATTCTTTGTCACCCAAAAATTATAATAGCTATGACAGTGTATTGAACACTTTGGAATGGTGGTAAAGGCGGGCCCCCTCCTATACTGTATGTTCCTATAGGTCCAACTCTATGATTCTAGGACGTAAAAAAAAAATTCTGCCTAGACCAGGGGTCAGCAACCTTAAACACTCAAAGAGCCATTTGGACCCGTTTCCCACAGAAAACACCGGGAGCCACAAAACCCTTTTGACATCTAAAATGAAGATAACACTCCATGCAGTGGCGTAACCAGAGTTATGGGCGCCCGGGGCAGAACATTTTTTTGCGCCCCCCCATATTATATAAACAGTACTGGACTCTGGGCTTAGTAACGCACTGGACTCTGGGCTTACCTGAGACCCTGCAGAGCCCACCTGAGAGTGACCCTGCAGAGCGCACCATAGATTCCACACAGCCCATCTGTGACTCTCTATGGTGGGCTCTGCCCCCCTCCTTATTCGGACTCACGGCCAGCTTCCCATCCAGATGGTGTGCACTGCAGTGGGCGGGGCATATGACACACACTTCTCTCCCGCCGCCGGTTACTAGGGATGCGGCCAGGAGAGGAGTAGAGTCTCCTCTCCTGGGATCGGCCCCTTGCTGAGAAGCCCGTCGGCAGTGCGGGACCCTGCACTGCCGCATATTAAACCAAGGGGGTTGCCCAGGACCGTACCTCACTGGGCCCCCCCACAGCCTCAGGCCCCGGCGGTAGTTCCACCCCTGGACAGGGAGCCGCAGCTGAGGGATGAGAGCCGCGGGTTGCTGACCCCTGCCCTAGACAATTTGAAGGTGTTACAAAAGGGGGGAGAGCAGTCCTTATATGGTCCATTGTTGTTATATTTATGCATATTCATACTTCATATTATTATTATTATTATTATTACTAGTATACCTTTTTATATTATATTCTTGTTTTCTCTGTGCTGTGATATTTTTGAGGAAGATTGTTAATTATGACATCTGATCCATACTGTAGATGGAAGCTTCTTCCATGAAACCCTGTTGAGATTGGATGTTGCAAATGAAGGTGGCAGTGATTGGTCAGAGTCAGGGTATGGCTTGTTATATGCTGGCCATACACTATACAATCTCCTTTAGATCTACCAACAGCTATGTAGTACAAGGGTCGGCCTGACTGAATACAAAGTGAATTCATTGTTTTTCTTCATATTACATTGTCTTAGTCGGGGCTCAAAATTTCAAGTCCTGAGCTACTAGCCAGGCCTTAAAAGTTACTCGCCACCAGTTGCCCCACCTAACCCCTACCCTGCCCCGGACTTAACTCCGCCAGGTCAGTAATGTAACGCAGAGGTCAGTAATGTAACGCACAGCGCAAAGGTCAGTAATGTAACGCGCGGCACAGAGGTCAGAGTGACGCGCAGAGGTCAGAGTGACGCACAGTGTAAGGAAGAAAGAAAAGGGACTTGCAGTGCACTTAGCTGGTATTCAGGTGCCTCTTCTTTCTCCTGGTGGTGGTGGGGGGGGTGGAGGTCGGTGCAGAGATCTGTGCAGAGATCCTCCATGTACCTTCTTTTCCCTGCTAACTTTCTGGATGGCCAGTCTCACCGTCTCTGCAGTCTTCCTCCCAGCCTGGCAGCTGAGGTGGGCGGAGGAAGCTGCAGAAGACAGCGGATGTCATCGAGGAGCGCCGCCGGCGGGACCAGAGATGGGACACTACCACCACGGCGATCGTTCCCTTGTGTTCTCTCTTCTCATCGGCCGCTCTGTAGCTACAGCAGCCGATGAGGAGAGAGAACAGAAGCGAGCAATTGCCGCAGCGGTAGTGTCCCATCTCTGGTCCTGCCGGCGGTGCTCTTCAATGAGATTCCCCCCCCCCGCAATTTTCACTCGCCAATTGCGAGGGGGCGAGTGGAAATTTTGAGGCCTGTCTTAGTAATTCTAAAGGAGATTGTACAATGGGACATTCTAGTGCATGGCCAACGTTAAAGCTATTTTACTGCTTGTTAGGAATATGTAAATAGTTTCATGTCCATAGTCTGGGAGAGGGACCCTTTAACCTTTAGCTTTATGGTCTTTATATCTTTCCTGTTTTTGGTTTCAGAATGGAAGCAGAAGAAGGACTCCTGGTGGTGTCTACTTAAACCTTTTGAAAAACACACCGAGTATTACATCAGATCAAGTGAAGGTATGTTTAGAGCTGAGATCAGGGTATAAAATCCAAGTGTATGAGGTATTGGGGCTTGTAGGGTGAACTTGTTGGTTTCTTGGTATGTATGTGTGTGTATTATACAATTATACACATGTATATTAAAATGTACCTAATACTGGTATTTCTGTTAAATCAACATTCCTAACTTGTACTTTAGCCGACACATCACAGCAGCATAATTTGCCATCTGCTGCTGCCTACTCTTCTTCAGCGTACGTTCCTGGGCCCTGTTATAATGTGCAGCGATGTCGGGTTTAATTATGAACTATGAGCCGAGTGAAAATCACTCACCTCATAGTTCTAGCCGACCTGTGACAATGAAACTGTCACAGGTCGGCTCAATTAATCGGGAAGTGAGCGAACACATACTGTCGCTCGCTCACTTCTCAATCTATCCGTGCAGAGAGCCGTGACTGTCACTCTCTGCAGCGATTCCCCCCTCCCCTGTCCGATCCTCCAGCGCTGACTGGCGGAACGGATGGGGGAGGGGGCGGGTACAGCTGGCTCTGCCTCTAGATAGGCAGAGCCAGCTGTCACTCATGCAGCTGGGTGGATCCAGACAGTAATGTCAGGATCCTTCCCGGCTGCGGCGTCTCTGTATACCGCACCGAGCTTTGGGGGACGGGAGGACGCTAGTTTGTGTCCTCCCGTTACCCTTAGGAGAACTATGGGGAAAAGCCCTGACCCCCCATAGTTCTCCTCTAAAGGTAATGCCCCCTAGAGTTAAACCTAGGGATAAATACAAAGGGCACGCAATATAGACTTAAGATTTTCATCCAGACATTGCTGTACTGTTCACCCTGCATCCTTTTGTCTGAAATTGGTGTAACGTACCTGATGATCACCCTCCCTACTTCTTCTTCCACACATACACAGAGCAGGGTTTTTTTTTGGGGGAGGGATCCAATGCGTTCATGTCACAGTTCGGGGGGATGTGGTTCCTTTTTGATTGGCTGTCATTGTTATGTATTTATATCTTCACTTAAATTGTTGGTGTTCATTTTCTGTTTGCCTGAAGAAGGGACCGTTGGGTTCCGAAACGTTGCTTTGAAATGTGGCACTACTACAGTCAATAAAGAGATTGACTTAGTATTTATCTGGAGTGCGAGTGACATTCCAAACGATTTTTGCATGATTTTGCAGCAGCATCTGCCATCACTGCAGCCCCCGCCCTACGTTTCCGGTCAGGAGTGCGATGGGACATGCCCTTTATTCATTTGACAGTTTTGTGACTTGAGCGCACTGGATTGCATAATCAAAGTCACCCCATGTTCTGGGGCCGGAGGGGGCCTGGCGGTGGCATTAATTTCAATGGCACTGCAGACACACCTCCCCCCCACAGTGCGATTGCCTGCCCTGGAGCACATGGTAAAGCAATACCCTGCATTCCAGTGTGGTGCGATCACGCATACACGGAGCTGTGACATGTACAAAACCCCCAAACCATTAATTTCCTTTGCCAATGTTTTTTGTTTGCTGTACAGGAGATATTTTACATGGAAAACCAGAAGGAATATGAGAGTAAAAAGGCTGCAAAGAAGAGGAGGCGTCACATACTGGGGAAGAAGGCTAAGGAGGCCATCAAAGGCCTCAACTTCCAGGAACATGACGATACATCAAGGGAGACATTTGCAAGTGACACAAATGAAGCTTTAGCGTCTCTAGATGATGAAAACTCCGAAATTAAAGCAGACACTGAAGATGCCATCGAGATTGACAATTCCCATGACTTGGAAACATTTTAACTGGAGCCTCGCTAGGACTTTACCCAAATGTGTATTTACTAGTTCCAATTTAAGACTTTTTTTTGTTGTTGTTGCTTCAGAAGTGACAAAATTTACCAGTTACGTGTAGATTGAAATTAGTAATGGCATTGCTTATTACATGTACCTCAGTTTTTTTGGGGTAAGTTTTGATTTTTGTACTTTTGTTTTGTCTTTTTGCCTTATGCCCTATTCATTGTTTTTTTAAACAAATTTTCAAGCATTGCTAGAGCACCAGAGACGTAGTCGTGAGTCTGTGGACCCTGATGCAGGACTTATGACGATGTCACACTAGAATGTTCTATGGCCATTAACTGTTTGGTTGCTAGAGATGCAGCCCATTTGAATATTGCAAACCATAATCTGTTAGTAGAGGAATCTTGACGTTACTTACAAAGAATGTGAAGATGATCATTTTCCCAGCATGCTGGAAATGATTTGGTTGTACCCTTTCCTGTAGGGTTTTGTTGTTTTATATTTGCTGTACACCAGGAACACAGGCACTCTGTCTCGGTACTGCTGCTTATTTACCACCAGAGAGCGCACTTATTCCTTTGACTTTCTTGTCCCATAAGATAGGCAGATGGTATCTGGTAATTTGCTTCCATCCTGCCACCAGCCGATAGGTAAGAATTGTAGCACCTTGGGCACAGAATTTGTAGTTCTTTCTGTGCCAGACTATTCTGGACTACATGTTGTCACAGCGGCAAGTACTTTCTCGCATGTTATGTTACCTAGGCTGCAGCATGTTTAAAGCTAGCTTTTTCGTTGCAATACTCACCCATACCACCATTACTACTATATGAGCTGAGCCAAATCATTTACAAATGTCTTGGACCATCAACGACAGCTGTAAAGATTTTCCAGGCTGGGAGCTTTTAGCAGATTCCCAGTTGTTTTCTATTGTTGTACAGAAGTAATATCCACATATCACAATATTCATCTTTTGTCAAAATCAGCAATATGCCCAAGCATGGCAAAGTGACAGTGTCTGCGTAAATGTCCCCCTGATACTCGCCTTGCCACTGCTTCCATTTTCTTTCCTCTGTCATAGCTGGTGACCATACTTGGTCCTTACAGGTTTGGGGGAACATGTGACTTACTTTGTGACAATGCTCAGCCAATCACTAGATGCATGCATTATCACATGACTGAGGAAGCGACGTTTTGACATCACCACTCCCCTTAATGTCAGACCGAGATGACGCTAGGGATTATAGTGCTGGCTGCAACAGGGGCGCACGGGGAAGATATCAGGGGTTCAGGGAGTTCCTTGTACATGGACACTGTCATTTATACCTACATGGGCAAGGTGACAGTGTTTTTTTCAGTGCTGGTCATTGGCCTGGGAAACAGTCAAAATTCTTAGTGTTAGGTTGGCTTGATCCTTTTGATCGTGTTCTAAAGCTGGTTGAAATGGATAGAAGATTGCCATGTTAATGTTAAGCATAAAGGCACAGGTACAAACAATATTTTATAATCTAGCCACATGATGATAAACTTCAGTCTTAATATACTGAAGTGATTGTCAAAAGCAGTTTTTTTTCTGATTCTGGTTTGTGTAGCTAAGCCATGATGGTAGTTCCATGTAAAAGTAGGATCATTAAATGGACTACTTATTCCCAAGCATAGGACTAAAGGTAAATATACAGAAGAAAAGCCCTCTCGCCATCTTCTCTACCCCACGGCCTTAAAGGAGAACAATGGGGTGAGTGAATTACACTCATCCTCATAATTCAAGCCGACCAGTGACACTGAAGCTGTCACAGATCGGCTCTATTGATCATGAAGGCAGCGAACACACACCGCCGACCCGCTCACATCCTGATTTATATATCGCACAGTACAGGTTCCCTTTAAATACTTGTATAGAGAAACAGCTGTTCAGGGATCCTACAGTGGCTGGTTACCTGATCCAATGTCTAGTGACCTAGTCACAGGGTCAGCCGGTCTGAGTTTAGATCTTATTCTTACCATACTGGAATCCTTCAGCAATAGTCTCTCTAAGGCCAATGATGTATTTGATGGGTTCTCACAATGCATTTGAATTAAATGCTGGAGGGTGTGGGCTGGTATTTCAATTTAGGTCCTATGTATGGCCAGATTTACTTGGATTCTCTGTCCCCTGGGAAGCTGCCTCGTTATACTTATATAGTTATATAACTTGCCATAATTGTGTTACTTCGTTATTCTAAAGGTTTAGGTTGGCATGTTTAGACGCCACCACATAAGAATAGAGAGGCAGAAAACTTACCATCATAAGCCATTTAACCGACTGCCCTGTCACCGTTTCTTCCAGACTTAAATACATGAAATCTAAAACTGCTTTACTATGTAATTGTAGTGCTGTGTGCACACGTTGTGCGTCTTTAGAGAAGCAGACTATATCCGCTCCCAAGGAACAAGTAGAGAAATTAAGTGTGTGGTTTTGTAGTATTTCTCTCATGGAATGAATGTTATGTACAAGGTGCTTTATGTTAATGTGGTCTTGTTATATTCTGCACTTTCTACTGCCATATCATGCTCTTTTTCTCTGTTAACTGCTTTCTACCACATCTTGTTTTCTTTCAATATTAAATTTTGTTTTATGTAGTAATTTTTTTTAAGTGCACTTTCTCTGGGAAATATTAAGGCAAATCTAATTAATTGAGAAATGTTGCTGCTTCCTTTTTTTTTTTTTTTAATAAACCGAAAACACAAGTTTTAAATGCCGTTATGTTTAAAGATATTGTTTGAGTTTATAGATAATGTATTCATGCCTGAGCACAATACTGAGAACCCACACACAGTACTGATGAATGCTGTCACAACCTGTAGGGCTTGTTCACACCAGCGGCTTTCAGGTGCGTTTCCTACAGTGGCGTACTGGTTAGCACTTCTGCCTTGCAGCACTGGGGGTCCCTGTTTCAAATCCCTGTCAAGACAATAACTGCAAGGCGCTTGCATGTTCTCCATGTGCTTCTATGGGTTTCCTCCCACACTAGAAAAAAAAACATGCTGGAAGGTTAATTGGCTCCTGTCTAAATTGGCCCCAGTATGTATGCATGTGAGAAAAGGACCTTAAATCGTAAGCTCCTGGAGGGCAGAGACTGATGTGAATGTGCAACTATGTTGGCTGTTTGACGCATGTGACTATTTAAAAAAAAAAAGTGCTTTACTTCTTGCACATATCATCGAGTGCTGGTGGCTTCTATTATGGACAGTCTCTGACATGACGTCTTCCATGTTGTCACTTCAAGCACCAACCTCTCATCCAAGGTCTGTACGCTGTATGGATTGCAGGTGATTTTGTATTATGTAAAGCGCGGCGTAAATTGACGGCGCTATATGAACGCCAATAATAAATAAAAGCTTCCAAAAGGCAAGCACATGATTTCAATGCTTTCCAATTAGCCTAGTTCACACCCCTGCGTTCAGTTCCAGTGCTTTCAGTTCCATGCATTTTTTCCCGCATCGGAATACATCTGAATAACATTCTAGTATTATATATATATATATATATATATATATATATATTGCAATGCAGTGGTGTGAACAGAGCCCATACATGACAATGCAAACTGACTTGTTTTGCATTAGGACTGCGCTGGAAAAAATGCCCAGCGCAGCCTGAACACATCTGGTGTAAACATACCCTGAACGCAGGGATGATGGAGGGCGCAAGCCTTAAAAAGGAGACTATCATATCTTCATTTACTTCATTTTCAATTGTAGTTTAGCTGAAAATACTTGCTGACGTGTTTCTCATTTTAATGTGCTTGCTGTGCCATGTTATCATAACTGATCCATACAGTGGCTAGCAAAAGTATTCACCCCCCCCCCTTGGCATTTTTCCTGCATTATCACCTGGAATTAAAATGGATTTCTTGGGAGTTTGTATCATTTTGATTTACACAACATGCTGACCACTTTGAAGATGCAGAATTAAAGGATAATTAAAGCCTCTGTTTTTTTCTGCATAGATCTACTGATAGCAAGCAGTAGATCTATGCAAAAAGTGTAAACAAAAAACAAAAACGCTTTAACAGAGGTTAACTTACTTATCGAGATCCGAAGGATGCTGTGCTGTTGTTTGTTGGCATCCAGCGCTGCAAGTCTCCCTCTCCTGGCTGTGTTCATCTCCCAGCTAGGAAACGGCTCCATAAAAGTCTATCGGCTGTAATATGCAGATGTAGAAAGCAGGGGGAACATTTTTTGTGCTGGATATAAACAACTGTGCCTTCCGTATCTCGTGAAGTACGGATCTTGGGAATGGGCAGGGTGCAAAAAGGATAAGTGCATTTTGTTTTAAAGTGCACATATTCTTTAAAGAAGACTATATTCTACTTTTAAAAGGAATACAGCAGAATTCTTACAGATGTAGATTAGCTGTCACCCAGTCTGGTTCTGGTTATGATTAAATTGGATGACAGTCTTATGTCTTTCTTATTATTATACAGGATTTATATAGCGCCAACAGTTTGCGCAGCGCTTATATGTCTATATTCCTAACCCTGGTCATGTTAGATTTTTCTCATCCAATCACTATTTTATTCTGATGAGCTAAAGCATGAGTACACCTCCATTTGCAAAACATTTTAACCCAACGTGCAGTGATCTGATATCCAAGTAACGTATATAAATGGTATATATATATACACACACACACCATGTGTGGTCCTAAGGGCCTGTTAGGCTTAGGTTAGTTATACGCATAGTTAACCTTAATGCAGTTGTAAAGCCTATACTATTGCTTTCAGTAGGGAATATATGAATGTCTCTCATTCAAGCGATACCATAAATGTGTAATAACTGCATACTGTTCAAATAAAGATGTTTTTCAAACATAATCATTCAGGTTGCATGGAGCTGAATTGGAGCGGATCATTGTTGTGGCAGACAAATGCCACTACCCGCAATACAGAAATGCCAGCGCTCCTAACTGAAGATTCGTTGTGGTGATGAGTTTAGTTTATTGTGAGATTGGTAGTATATACACGTACCTTAAATATGTGCATTGCATGGTATATACAGCTGTATACTTCACAAACCTCAGCTTGAAACAACAGACTTTCAGGACATCCCACACATTCCTTAGACTGGCATAGTTGCTGGTACTAGGAGGTGGATATCTCCATACTTTGAAATGATGCCAGACCACCTGGTTTTACTGCTGGCTGGATTCAGATGCTATTTACTGGAGAAGC